TAAAATGGAAGTTGAACTAAAAATTATCCTACATTTCTCCACTTTAAGATTCTACTTTTTCATTGTCAACTAGATATTTAACCATATATAGGTATTTGTAATGTATTCAGGAATTAATTTATTCCATGTGTGGCAGGTTATTCTCAAAATTAATTCATCTTGGACTTTCTAGCTTGATTTAGATTTCTTTCTTTTTTACCATTATAACTAGTGGTACTTGCTTCATTTCTAACCTAGTTACACATGTAACTTTTTGCATAGAACAATGAAGAGTCAGATCATTTCACCCTTAATATACTAAAATGCTAAAGGTTAACAAGCACCCACTTTAAAGATAATTTATGACTGTGATCTGGTACTAATTCAGTTCTATCAATACTTTGTACAGACAGTAAAACAGTTCTGTCTTAGAATCAGTAAGCAGTTATCTCCAAACCAGAGCCCTAACTGTAAAAACTACCATGCCAGATGCAGTGCTAAAATGTTTTCTACGTAGTCACCTCACTAAACTGTGATAATGTAAGTGGGTATTATCCCATTTTAGAGTAGGGGAAACAATAAATAAAAAGGGTGAATAACTTGCCAAAGGGCACACAGCTGGTAAAATAACAACAATGAAATTCAAATTCCCATCTGGTTTCGATATGAATGCCCCTAACCCCTATAATATACTGTCTCTGTCTCCCCACGAGTGCCCTAGTCACGGTGAAGAAATGAAGACTTGCCACCACCAAATGACTCTCTATTCCACTACTCTGTTATATAAACAATCCATTTTATTCTAGTGTCACTATGAGGATAAGAACAATGTCTGTCTTCTTTTTCTCAACTCACAGAAGACCTGACATATTTCAGGTGCATAATAAATACTAACTGAATGATTTCAAGGAATCCTAAGGTACGAAGGGCTATTGTGTAAAATACTGGTAACCACAGAAAAAAGTAAAAAGTTATTTTGGTTAAAATCTTTTCCTCACTTTTTTTTTTTACTGTTATGTGTTGCTTTTTTGCTGCCATTAATGCCTCTTCAGCAGCATAACTCTGAAGCCTCTTATCCAGTTTTACTAGTACACTGCTGCTCCTTTGCTACAGGCCCATCCAAAGACAATCAAGCTTATTAGAACTGTGTGTCAAATTGGATCTAAGTGGGGCTAAGCTGCTCTCACATAAGTAAAAGTAGAAGACCAGGCCTGATAATATTCTTAATAAAAGAGTAAGTGAATATTCACTTAACACAGTAAAATGCATACATTATGCCAAACAAACCCACTATGCTTCATGTTAAAAATTTAGAAGCATTCCCATCGAAGATGAGAAGACAAGGATTCCTAATATTATTAACATTTCTGTAAAATTTATCATTTAATATTAGGTAGATTTAATCCACTGAAAGAAATAAAAGATATCAGTATTGGGAAAAAAGAAGCATCATCATTTGCAAATTACATGATCAGGTGTTTGGAATACTCAAGAGAATGAAAGACAACTCTTATAAACCATAAAAAGTTTCAGTAAGATGCTAAGCACTTCATGAACTCTACTTGAAAGGTACATTTGGCTTTTATTAGGCCAGGCCTCACAACTGGGTACTATCTAAGTGAGACTTGCTCTATTATACAGAATACAGTCCAGAAACTTTATTTCTGTGTATATTGAAAACTAATCAGGTTTAGATGATTAAGATTGACCCATACCAACTAAATTCAAATAAGGTAATTAATAAACCATAATAATTTCCTAATTTTTAGAGAAAAACAATAAGTACCAAAAATGTACATACTTTAATATTAAATTCTGGCGTGTAGTACTGTGTAGCCCCATATAAACTGATATGTAATTGTCCTCCATTACTAAGAATAGCCTAATAGGTAAGTATAGACTAAAACTAATATCAATAAAGCATTAAGTGATAGTATAATGTATTTCTGAGGGCTGATAATTCCTCTAAGAGGAAATTTAGGACAGTAAGTCTGATTTTAATAGTTTTTAGTATGAAAAGTGACTTGTTTCTTACTAGCTATTCAAGTAATTGTGTTTACTTGAATTTACTTTACTTATATTAAATCAGAACCCAGGACCTTGGTGATTTTTTGGTTTACTGTTCCTTTCATTATAACATACTCCACTTTAACACATTATTTCTCTTTGAAAACAAAAATTCTAAACTAACAAACATACAGTAAATATTATGTATATAATATAATGGCTTTAGTTCAGGGAGGTACATAATATAGTAATACATTAAGCCTTACATTCTCTATTTCAAAATTAATTCTAGAGTGTTGGTGCTTGATGTTTCCTCTGCTCCCAATTTTGCTATAATCTATGTTGTTAAAAGTTAGGAAAGTGAGAACTTTTGAAGAAAAAGACTAATAGTTCTTTGGAGGGGGTATGCTAGAAGGTTTCCGAATTAATATTAATTCTTTTTCTGGTGATTTCAGTTATGTTCTTTGTGATAATTAATTTCTATATATATACTTGAGATTGTGTGCATTTTTCAGTACATAATGTCAGTATTTCAATTAGAATGGCTGGTTTTTAAAAATGAGCAGAAAAACAAAACAAAAACAAATTACACAGACTTCTTATATCTCCAATAAAGTACAATTTCTTTGGAAGCATGCTGTATTGCATTTAGTGTCTTTGTTGAAAAGTAATAAAACAAAAACTTATCTTTAAACTCTACAATCATTCAGCTGGTGAGATGCTCACACTATTTGGTAACTGTGGAAGAGCAAATTCACATCTCTTTTTCAAGTTTCTTCCTATTCTGTGTGTTTAAAAAAATTTTCTTAATTGATTTTAGAGAGAGGAAGGGAGAAAAAGAAACACTGACTTGTCGCTTCACCTATCCATGTACTCAGTGCTCAATCTGACGGAACCCACAACCTTGGCTCATTGGGACAACGCTCCAAACAACGGAGCAACCCAGCCAGGGCTATATGTGTGTTTGAACATGGAAAGGGAGACTTAACTATTCTATTCAGATTGTCATGTGTATTTGTTTATCTCTACCTTTCTTATTCTTTTTTTCTTGCTCTCTCTCACTCTTTCTTAGCTGGACCTTTATAGTTGAATTTCCATATGTTTAATATGGATATGCTCCAATTAAGTTGTATAAACTAGAGTAGAAGAATAGAACAATTCTATCTTACAAAACTGTAACATTCTCCACCCAAATGAAATGGACACACAAAAAATCAACTCAAAATACTCATATTCTCCCCTGGCCTTGCAGCTCAGTCGGTTAGAGCATCATCCAAGTATGCCAAGGTTGCAGTTTTGATCCCTGGCACATACAAGAAGCTACCAACAAATGCGTTAACAAATGGAACAACAAATAGATGCTTTTCTCCCTCTCGCTCTCCACCCCCTTACCATTTCCCTCTCCCTCTCTCAAAATCAATATTAAAAACAAAACAAACAAAAAAACACATCAAATCCCTCTAACTAAACTCATCTCTTTCCCGCTGCCTCCCCATAAGGGCCCTGACAGGGGAGCCCATTCCGCAACCTGGGTACATGCCCTGACCAGGAATTGAGACCTGTAACCTCTCAGTCTAGGGGACAAAGCTCCAACACTCTGAGTTATACTGGCAGGACCTAAGATTTATTCTTATACCTGATCTTTCTGTAGCAGCACAATTCTCCCAGCCAAAACCTCAAAAACAAAACTGACTCAATTCTATCCAACATCTAGCCTCATCCATACAATACAATGTTCTCCTTCTGGAATTCTTTCTCTCTACCCTTGTCCTTTCCATTTTCTTTGCTGCAACCCTATTTGGTACTCCTAATACCTTCCTTGAATTACTGTAAAAACCTCCCAACTATTTCATAGTTCTGGTTCTTCCCCACTACAATTAAACTTGCATACTGTCACTGGACTAACTTTCCTGAGGTATAACTTTGAGCATGGCATACTTGTTTAACAAACATTCAACAGCCTTCCCTGCCTTCTGAATAAAGCCCAAGCCAGCTTTAAATTTCTAAAGAGAACTTCTATAAATAACCACTAAGCCCTCTTTTCTGGCCAATAACAAAGTTATTTTAACCTTTGAAAGAAGAAATATACTGGACATTATGAAAAGCAACACAAAACAAAAAACAAGGGGAATAAAAGATCCAACCCAACCTATCTCCTGAACAATGAATAAACATGACTACCAATTCAAGATGGAAGAAGCCGAAGAGAAGTTAAAAGGAAAAGAAAAATCATAGTTGAAAAATGATTGTAGGCCAACTGGAACGTTACCTCTTTGAATGTAAATCTAAATCTAATTCCTATGTTCCAAAGACCAAAAGGAACTGGAGGAAGTATTATTGCTGTATTTTCCTTATAATATACTAAGGTCATTCTCCATGTAAAAGAAAATATCCAGGATGGATACTGTAGCATGGCTACTACCTCTGATCAGTTTTTTTTAAAGCAAGGAACTTAAAATATAAATAAATAAAGCAATATAAAAGACTGATGTTTGCTTATCAAATCATATTTTATCTCATGACAAGATGAAGTTTGAAATCATCCTCCCATAAAAAGAAATATCCCTTAGTAGTAATGATTCTGTAATCAGTAATGCAGTGTTTGCAGCCACTCTACAGAACACAGTCACTGCAAATAATGAGAATCAACTATATATTTGGGGAGCATATTTTACTTGCCACATAAAAGTCACTAAAATGGTTAACTTCAGATATGTGTAACACAAAATAAAGGAGACTGATTAAAAATTAAGACCATTAAATATAGTAAACCCTAGAGCAGGGATGGCAAACAGATTTTATCTTGCATATCAGCTCTGGAAAACAATGAATTTCTAAATAAGGTGTCTATAAAAGCTGTGCTTTGGCTCATTGGGAAAGAGTATAATCAATTAGTAATGTTGGTCAGAGTCAGAAAAAGGATAAATGATGTTACTTGCATTATGTATTTGCCATCCCTGGACTACTGTACTTTAAATAATCTCATAGAATATACAATTAAAAAAATTACTTACTGCTTCAACAGAGTTACATTCCCGTCTTGTTTCTAAATAACGTAGTGCTCGTTTTTCTTCTTCTTTTAATTTAGCATCTGCCTGTCCAGAGGCAAAATAGCAATCATTTTAAGAGTATCAAGATATTAGCTCAAATTAGTTCATATGCTAAGTTCTGACTTACATATTTCATATAATTCTGTACACCATTTTGCTGTAAATACGAGGGTGCCTGTGTTCTATAAAATCTCTCTGTTGAATCCAAGTATGCCTTCTCAAAATTGTCCCTATAAATTTGAAGCTTATCCTCAGGATTAGAACAAAGGTTAACTGAAAAACAGAAAATAAAATTTTACTCTAATTAGGATTCACATCAGGATTTGAGTACAACAACAAATATTGAGGAGTCATTATTTGCAAGGGACTGACAGTACTCAAGAGAACATAAAAACATATAAGACAAAATCTTCTCCATTAAAAAAACTTAAAAAGATAACTGCATAAAGTAGTAAAGTGAAAAACAATACAGAGACCATGGACTATTTCATTTTTGAATAGGAACAACATTGACTTCTAACTGGATTAAGAAACCCTTCACAAGAGATGAGATTTGAAATGAGTCTTATGGAATAAATTAGGATTTACATAGCTATATCTATCGAAAGTAAGTAAATATTCAGAAGTAGAAAAGCACAAGGCCAAGTCAAGGTATAATGGCTATGTTGCCTGTAAACTTGCAGTGGACTGTAAAGTTAATAGAAGATAAGGGTAAGTTAGGACAGCTTCAAATCTCAGTTTAAGTAACCTGAATTTAGCACTGTAAAGCACCAAATGGGTAAGAAAAATACCAATTGCCCTGGCTGGTGTGGCTCAGTGGACTGAGTGCTGGCCTGCAAACAGAAAAGTTGCCAGTTCGATTCCCAGGCAGGGCACATGCCTGGGTTGTAGGCCAGGTCCCCAGTTGTGGGTGTGTGAGAGGCAGCCAATCAATGTATCTCTCACACATTGATGTTTCTCTCCCTCTCTTCCCCACCTCTAAAAGAAAATAAAATTTAAAAAAAGAAAAGAAAAATACCAATAAAATAGTACTTAAAAATTAATCATGTAATGAGTATATGGGTAAAATGATAGCAAAATGATCCCAATAAGAACACTGTTTCAAAATTCTACAAGTGGAGTTTAAGGAAGTCCAAAATGGTGGAAGGCATTGAAATCAAAAGAAATGTCAGTTACTCAGTTAATGACAGTCTAAATTTGATGCCTAAAGAAATATGAGGGCGATAGAGAAAGCAAGTCAAAGATAACTAAAGGTTCATTAACATAAAAAATTCTTATTGACAACTATTCTGTGCCAGGCATTCTATAGTCAGTGAAGACACAGTATTAACAAAACAACTACTTCCACTGAAGTATTATGACAGGGAAGTATAGGTACTATAAAGCATTATGAGAGGATCAGACTTAGTCTGGGTTTTAGGAAAGGCCTCCATAAGGAAATAGATGATGAGAATGAGTTAGAAGATAAAGAGGTTCAAGAAGGAAGAGTATTCTAGTTACAGGAATATCTGACTGAAAGGACAAATAAGAATGTCATTGTCAAAAATGCAAAAGATCGAAGACAAACGTACATATAAAGTTAACTTACATCCTAAAAATATAAGTAGAAAACTAGTTATCTTTAAGCTACAGATTCAAATATACATTTCTGTAATTTAAGTTGCTAAAAAATTCAGCAGCCAAAAAATTAGATGGAGAAAACGAATTATTAACCACACAAATATGAATTTTTGTAGGTTGCTTTAAAGCAGAATACTTTTTGTGTACTGTTTGTGTAAAAGCACCTGGCACTGTAAGTAGATGTGACTATTTGCTAATAAACATTATTTTGATTTTACTAATTATAGTACTACTCTATAATTGTTTTAGAATTTGCATGAAAAGGAAATTATAATCATTAAAGTTCAAACGTACCATAGGATTCTCTTACTCCAATGACCAGCTGAGAATCAAAAGCTTCTCCTAATCTTTCAGCATGTACTAGCTTCATTGCACTATCCTGCAGTCTGTTTTTTATATTTGAAAAGATTGACTCATTCCATGTATCAAGCATGAGCTGGAGAAAAAAAAAACCAAAACACGCAATCATTACCATTATTAATATAAAAAGTATACATGACATCTGTCCAGAAAGTATCCAGCCATGCATTATGGAAAAAAGAGACATTTATTGAAGAAGATACAAGAAACATTGCACATAAGACAACTGCACCTCAGTCCCCTTCAAAGTTAGACACCTTGGGACCTCACAGGTCTCAGATCTCTGTTGACTGCAACCTGTACATAATCAACATTCTCAGGTGTTGTGCTTGTAGCAGGCCTTCCAGAACATGGATCACTTTCAACAGATTCTCAACTATCTCTTAAGCGTTTGTGCCGCACTTTCATTTGCGCTGCACTCATTGCATTGTCCCTGAAGGCCTTCTGAATCATCCACATAGTTTCCGCAGAGGAATGTTCAAGCTTAACGCAAAATCTGTTGAAGATTTGTTGCTGTACTTGCACGTTTTGAATGCAATGGCCCCAGAGTACACATGCTCACTCAACGGTGTCTACTGCCCCCCCCCCAACTAGTATATTGAAGTTGTCATTTTTCATGCATGTGCATTCCAGTCCACTCTTCTTGGCTACCAGGTTACACCAATGTCACAACTGTTCTCATAATATTAACAACGGCTGGACTTTTTCCAGACAGACCTTGTATATACAATTCTTTTTTTTTTTGCAGGGGGAGCAGCACTTTTATTTGGGGAGGTCTCGGAGGATGGATCTGGAGTTCGGAGTTCAGAAGAGTTAAGATTAAGATGAGCGCGAGTCTTGGAAAGAGAGGGCTCGGTATTTTGACAGCTGCGCTGGGGTCAAAAAAATTAAGTACAAACACTAAAAAAGGAATTCAAATTCTTAGGTCTACATTCACTTGCATACTTCAGGGAAGCAGTATATTTAAATGTGGTAAAGAATATATGGTAAATAATGGTAAAGAGTATGTTTTTCAGTCAAACATAATTGGATTTGAATTCCAGCTGTTACTTATTTACCTGCTTTCCCCATCTGTAGAATAGTGAAAATAATAGTACAAATTTCAAGTGGTTGTAAAAACTAAATATGGTAGTACCTGGAAAATGTTATTTCCCCTATATCTCCAAGGTTGAATTTCAAAAATACTGGTATGTATTTGAAATGCTCATGTACGTATTTATACAAACACATAATCAATGTAAAAAGAACCACTGAAAATGTTTGATAGTGAACCTTAAAAAAAAGTACATATTAATCTATCTTACAGATGCTCCATTTTGTTTTCAAAGACTGTCTTCTGTGTCTTCTCTTTTAAAGATTTTATTTATTTATATTTAGAGAGGGGAAAAGAAGGGAGAGAAACATCGAAGTGCAAGAGAAATACTGATCAGTTACCTCTCGCATGCCCCCAACAAGGGACCTGGCCCTCAACCCGGGCATGGCCCGAACAGGAATCAAACCAGCAACCTTATGGTTTGTGGGATGACACCCAACCCACCGAACCACACCAGACAGGGCCAGATGTTCTATTTAAATGACGGAAATAATATATACATATTCATAAGTATGTAGTATCTCTCCAAGTAACTTTGTCAGATATAGGAAATACTATTAACAACAGCAGCAACATCAATACAAAAATAATAGTTATATAACATTCACTATGTACCTAGCACTGCTCTAAATACTTTCTACATATGTGTAACTCATTTAATCCTCACAACTTAGACATAGGTGCGATTATCTCCCTTTAGACATAAGGAACCTGGGGCACAGAGAGGAAAGCTAACTTTCCCACATTTACACAGCTCCTAAGTGGCAACACTGGAACCTGAGTCCAACAACTGTGGTCCTAGAATCTGTACTCTTAATCATTAAGTGATGCTGATTCCCACAATCCATAGGGAATAGTAAAAATTAAAGAAACAACAGAAAAACAAAAGTGAACAAGATTATGGAACTGCAAATTAAAAAGCATCTTGAAGTGTTTTTCTTTTGGGGCTGATCGTGGTGCTAATGTCTCATATTGCAGCTATTTCTACCACTAATAACCATTGGATATCTACATTTTATAAGAACTCTGACAGCATTAGTACAAATTTTAAGGCTGGGCAGTAATGATTAGACTGCTACTTGAATGTCTGAATGCCTGAAAGCTCAAGCTATAATCATTGTAGCAAGTAGTGAGTTGTTCAAAGCTCAAATGGCCTTTTTAGCTTTTCAAATCTGTGGTTCCATTTGAGTCTGACAAATAGGAAAATCACAATGCATGAGGACAGAGGGGTTAGGACACCACTGATCGAGAGTTGAAGGGGAAATCTGGGAATCCAATTTTAGAGCTTAGCTTTTTCCATTAAGTCATGGATTGTTCCTGGGCACACAGCTTTTAACTAAAAACTATACAAAATATAAAAATAAACACAGAACATACTGAGTTTATAACAACCATAATCAAGTAAAAAAATTAGAGAGATGATAGTAGTTTAGTCACAAAGATAACAAAAGGTAACCTAATAAAAGGAGAGATTTTTGAGATAGAATAAAAACAATTCAATTTACAGGAAGGTAAAATTACAAAGACTGAATAAGGAAATAAAATCTCAAAGATAAAACTAGGAAAAGGAGAAAGTGAAAGGAAAAGCAAAGGAGAGGATGTTTGAAACACAGTTATAAAGCTTAACACCACACAAAAAAATGGAAGACATTTAAAGCTGAAAATGGATGAAAGAAAAAAATATATTACTCAATAAAACCCAGCAAGAGCTGGAAAGAAATTTATATGTGAAGTAGAAAAACCTATTTATGTAAATTAGTTTTAAAAGTCTTCAAATCATCCTTTCTAAAGAATATTAGGGGAAAAAAGGGAAAACTCACCTTTCGAACAATACCGTCTTCTACATTTGATTTTTTATTGCCGCCCTGTTTACCCAATAAAGTAATCTCTAGTTGACAAAAAGGCTTCGGTAAAATATCACATTGTGTAAAGAATTTTCGCCATTCAACAATATATGCTTTTAGCAAAGCTGTATCATCTTGATGGCTCAGTACTCGCTGGAAAAAAGAAAAAAGTATTGTACCAATTTGATATACAGGTGTTTTAAAGAATACTAAAACATTTTTATGCTGTAAGTTTAAAATACTTTATTCATTGTACAATCTTTTAAACATATGTATATATCCAAGAGGAAATTAAAATGTTCACATAGACTTGTGATCATTTCACAATATATGTATCAAATTATGTTGTCTATCTGAAACTAAGAAACTCTTCTATGTCAATAATGTCAATTAAAAAAGAAACCCTGTATCTATTAGCTGTCATCTTTTCTTCCCCTTTGTCTCTCCCTTCTTCCACCTCCCAGCCCTAAGCAACCACTAGTTTATTTTCTATGGCTACATATTTGCCCATTGTTGCAAGTATAAATACTTTATTCCTTTTTAAGGCTAAGTACTATTTCATTTGAGGGATGTACCATATTTTGTTTATGTTTGTCCACTGGCAGACATTTGCATTGTTTTCACTATCTGGAATAATGCTGCTATAAATATCTGGTACAAAAAAATATAAAAATATCTGGTTCACAAAAAACTTGTGTATACTCACAAGAATAAAAGAGACAGGTCTCAAATAAAATCAGAAATGTAAGAGAAGACATTAGAACTGATACCACAGATATATATAGGATCATGAGGCTACCATGAACATTATATGCCAACAAATTAGACCACCTAGAAGAGATGAAAAAATTACTAGGAACATACTATCTACCCAGAGTGATTCATAAAGAAATAGAAAATCTGAACAGACTGATTACTAGTAAGGAGACTGAATCAGTAATCAAAAAATTCAACAAACAAAAGTCCAGGACTAGATGGCTTCAATGGTGAATTTTAGCAAGAAGAAGAAGTATTAATGCCAATCCTTCTAAAACTCTTCCAAAAAATAGAAGAGAAGGAAACATTTCCAAACTCATTTTACAGGGCCAACATTACCTTGATTATAAAACTAGAAAAGGATGCAACAAGAAAAGAAAATTACAGGCCAATATCCCTGATAAACATAGATGTAAAAATCCTGAAGATAAAAGCAAACCAAATTCTACAGCATATAAAAAGGATCATACACATGATCAAGTGGGATTTATTCCAGTGATGCAAGAATGGTTCCACACTGGCAAATCAATCCATGTAATAAACCACACAGGCAAAAATGTACAAAAATCATACTGTCACCTTGATAGATACTGAATAAACATTTGCAAAATTCATCATCTTTGCATGATAAAAACTCTCAACAAGGTGGGTACAGTGAGAATGTACCTCAACACAATAAATAAAGGCCATATGTGACAAGCCCACAACTAACTTCACATCACTTTAATGGTGAAAAGCTGTAAGCCTTTCCTCTAAAGTCAGGAACCAGACAGGATGACCACTCTCACCAATCCTAGGCAACACAACACCGAAGTCCCAGCAAGAGGAATTAGGAAAGAAAAAGAAATATAAGGTATCCAAATTGGAAAGGAAGACATAAAACTGTCTCTATTTGAATGTGATATGATATATAGAAAACCCTAATGACTCCACAAATAACAGAATAAAAATTCAGTGAGGTTGAAGGATACAAAATCAAACCCCCAAAATCTGTGTTTCTATACTGTTTGTGTTTTCATGGCGAACCATCAGAAAGAGAAATGAAGAAAACAATCCCATTTACAATGCGTCAGAAAAGAATACAATACCTAGGCATAAATTTAACCAGGAAAATGAAAGACCTACACTGAAAACCATTAAGACATTGATGAAAGAAACTGATGAAGACATAAAAATGAAAAGATATTCTGCGCTCATGAATTGGAAGAATATTGTTAAAATTTCCATACATACCAAAGTAATCTACAATGTGGAAAAGGCAGTCTCTTCAACAACGAGTGTTGAGAAAACTGGACAGCAACATGCAAAAGAATAAAACTTGACCACCATCTTACACCATACACAAAAATTAACTCAAAATTTATTAAAGACTGGGGGTAGGGAGGAGGTAGATGGAGGTGGAAGAGCAGGAAGGATAAATGGTAGTGGGGAAAAAAGCTTTTAATGAATTAAAGAATGAAATTTAAGACATGAAACCATAAAACTCCTAGAAGAAAATACAGGTGGTAAGCTCCCTGTATCATCAGATACATCAGACATCAGAGTTGGTGGTGATTTTTTGTTTAATATCAAAAACAAAAATAAGCAAGACAACATCAAACTAAAAAGCTTTTACACATCCAAAGAAAATAGCAACAAAATTAAAAGGCAATCTACTGAAAGGGAGATAATATTTGTAAGTCACATCTGAAAAGGGCCAACATCCAAAATAGATTTAAAAAAAACTCATACAACTCCATCAGCAAAAAAACAAACCCAAAAACAATTATGAAATGGGCAGAGGATCTGACTGAACCTTTTTCCAAGGAAGACACACAGATGTGCAACAGGTACATGGAAAGATACTCAGTATCACTAATCAGGGAAATGAAAATCCAAACCACAGTGAGATACCACTTAATACCTGGTAGAATGGCTACTATCCAAAAGACAAGAAATAAATATTGGCTAGGATGTGGAGAAAAGGGAACCCTTGTGCAGTGTTGGCAGGAATGTACGTTGGTGCAGCCACTATGAAAAATAGTTTGGGGATTCCTCCAAAAATTAAAAATAGAACTACCATTTGATCCAGAAATTCCACCTCTAGCTATATACCCAAAGAAAACAAAAACACTAAGTTGAAAAACTCTACAGTCAGCCCTCCACATTTGTGTGTTCTGCATCTGCAGATACAGAAGGCTGAGTAAGGGACTGAGCATCCATGGATTTTGGTATCTGCTGGAGGTGGGGGAGGGTGGTCCTTGAACCAACCCCCACAGATAATGAGGGAGGATTGCAGGCACCCCCGTGTTCATTTCCATATTATTTACAATAGCCAAGCTACGGAAACAACTTAAATGTCCATAGACAGAAGAATGGATAAAGAAAATAGGGCTGAAATATTATTCAGTTATAAAAAATGTCTTGCCATTTGGAACAACATGGATGGAACTTGAAGAAAATTACTGTCAGCTTATAAAGAGGTATTAGTTGTGAGAAAAAAGTAGATTTATGTAGGCTGACACATGGCCAAAAAAAAATGGTAGTGGGGACATCTAAGAAACTATTTCTTTGTATCTTTTTTCTTTGCTTTTTTAAAAATTAAATTTACTTAGGTTAAATTGGTTAGTAAGTTTACTCTCTTTACCCTCTCCCCATCCCCTTTGCCTCTGGTAACCACCATACTGTTGTCTGTCTATAAATTTGTTTGTTCATTTGTTGTTTGTAATGCCTTTTAATTGAGGATAATAATGTACTCTCTTGAAAGAAATGTCAGTAAGGGGGGGAAAACCAATGACAATCATTTCATTAAAAAATTTATTTAACAAATATATCAAAAGTCAATTAAAAATTGACTTTTTTTAAAAAAGTGATATTAAAAATTACTTTAGGAAGTTCTACATTCAAAATATTTCTTATAATATTCCTGAGTAAAACCTTAAAACAAGCTTAATATAAAGATACAGAACTTACTGCCTGTGCTTGCTTAATAAACTCAAGAATATCTTCTTTTAATGCCTGATGAATTTTTGCTGGGCCTTTATCATCCCAGAGACAGACTGCATGCACATCCCTATAAAAATAAAGCAGGTAAACAAACGTTAACACTGGGACAAGAACAAAGACAAAACTCATGTTAAGTTCTATTTTAATACAGTTTCCATGGGCCAAGCTAGACCAACCATTTTTTAAGCTTTCTCACACATTTCATTTGTTTATTCTTATTACTCGTCATTCACTGTTTTCTTTAAATCTCTGCTAGTTACTGGATAAAATATTTTTAATCATAAAAGTATACTACTTCCTACACCCCTCCCTAAAGTAAGCAACTGGATTGCCCAAAAGTTCATTGGGTTTTAAAGTAAAAATAAAAGACACATTGTTCATTTTGACCAATGAAGTTATTGAATAGAGTGTTCACCATTTTGTTCCATACCTTCTGCCATCTTTCAGATAACTTCATAATTTCATCTCCCCAAAGAACTGTTTTATCTGTTTGAGCAAAGAACTGTTCCAGGTACCTTTTGCAGTCTTTCAGGGAATTGAAATTTTTTCCATTAACACAATTTTGTAAAGACCAAAATAAACGGAAATCCAAAAGTGCAATGTCTGGTGAATATGGTAGATGAATCAGAGCTTCCCAGCCAAATTAATATTTTTTGCCTTGTCATCAAAGAAGCATTATCCTGATGGAATATTACGCATTTTCTGTTGACTAATCTTGGATGTGTTTCATAGAGTGCTGCTTTCAGTTGGTGTAATTGGGAGCAGTACTTGTTGGAATTAATTGTTTGGTTTTTCAGAAGGAGCTCATAATAGAGGACTCCCTTCCCAACCCACCAAACACACAATGGTCTTCTTTGGATGAAGACTGGCCTTTGGTGTGGTTGGTGGTAGTTCATTTTGCTTGCCCCACAATCTCTTCCATTCCACATTTTTGTAAAGTATCCACTTTTTATCACCTGTCACAATTTGTTTTAAAAACAGAATGTTTTCATTATGTTTAAGTAGAGAATCAAATGCAGAAATATGGTCAAGAAGGTTTTTTTTTTTTTTCACTTAATTGATATGGAACCCAAACATTGAACAGATTAACAGAACCAAGCTGTTGCAACTGATTTTCAACACTCGATTTGGATATTTTGACTACGTTGGCTTTTTCCTGCATGGTGTAACATCGACTGTTCTCAATTAATATCTCCTTTTGATTACTATAAATTTCACCTGGTCTACCCAACCATGGAGCACTGTCCAGCAAGAAATCACCAGCACAAAACTTCACGAACCACTTCTGACACTGTTTGATCAGTTACAGCACCTTCTCCATACGCTGCACAAACCTTTTTTGTTTTTGCATTTCAGTTGCGCTTCTTCATTTCTTAGAAATAATAAAGCATAATATGCTGAAAATGTTGCTTATTTTCTTCCATCTTCAATATTAGAAGGGTCACACAAAAATTCACCAATTTTGATTACGTTGTTTTTAAACGCATGCTGACATTGCAGCTGTCAAAATCTAACAAAAGTGTTTCAAATGAAGTTAATGACAACTAAATTCTATATAAGAGCCATCTTACAGAAAAAACATAGAACAAACTTTTTGGCCAACTATTAATATTTTTCTTATGCAAAGTGAGTATAAATCCTTTTGATTATTTTTTAAAATTTTATATATTTATTTTTAGAGAGAGGGAAAGGGAGGGAGAAAGAGACACACCAATGTGCAAGAGAAACATCAATTGATTGCCTCTTACACTGCTCCAAGAGGGGACCTAGCCCACAACCCCAGGCATGTGCCCTGGTCAGGAATCAAACCCAAGGCCTTTTGGTTTGTGGGATGACATACAACCCCCTGAGCCACACCAGTCGGGGCCCTTTAATTCTTTAACACAATATATGTAGTCTATCTTTTAGAAAAAATAGTAATAAGTCCATTACAACGAATCTCCTACCTTCCCCATACATTTATTACATTTACACATTAATTACTATAGTCTCCTTTGTTTAAAAATACATAAACAACAAAAGCCCTTATAAACTGGTAGATAAAAACTCTAAACTTACAATGTTGACACATTTTCCCTCAAGGACATTCATTACAGAAATATATTTAATATTAATACATATGCACAAAGTTAATTTCTTAATTACTAAGTTGTAAAGCAGGAAAACATAACAAAAGGTAGTCTTATATTGAGTATTCTTTTATTCAAAAAATACTCCCCAGTGACAGACTCATTCAATACCTTCTAAAGTCCCTGCTATAAAAAATGTCAAAGAAATCTAAATAAAACATCTCTAAAAGCTTCAAAATTGTAATATATCAATGGCCAAATAGTTTATTTTATATTCAGATTCTTAGGAACATTATTATAACCCAAAAGTTTGTCTGCATATTAATATGAATATTAATCATACAAGATTATTGTCTTTATTCATATTAATTCATATTAATATGAATTAATAATCAGATAAGATTACACAGGTACTATACCTAAGGGGGAACCAGGCAATTAGGCCCCAGAGCCCATACCAAAGCATTTCCTCAAATTTATTCTTGCAGTGCTCCAATCGATCCAACCAACAGTAGCCAAAATAATCTTTATAAAACTCAAAAATCGTATCACGTTATCTCTACAATTAAAATTCTCCAACAGTTTTCCATTTCTCTTTGAATAAAGTACAGAATGGTTAACTGACCCCTATAATATGGCTGCAATCTCACCTCACAACTAAAGGAATCTACAGTTGGAAAGAAGAAACTCATACAAAAATAGACTGACTATGATTCAATATGTTTACAACTATTACTATGTATATAAACACAAGATGTAAGAGGACAGTGGAAGAATATTTTATGAAGGAGAAACAATGGATCACTATGGTGTTTGCAAAGAACTATAAACAAATTAACATGGTTAGCGTGTGCAGTGGGGAGTGATAATCAAGAAATTAGGCAAACTAACTTTACCTTATCCCCTACATTCACTCACAGTCCTATTGTACCTACTACATAAATGCCGCTCCAAGTTGGTTATTTCCATCCATCACTGCCTCCATCATCAAAATCACCATCATCTCTTGTTTATTATAACAGAAACCAATATTAATTGACTGTTTACTTGGTGCCAGGAACTTTACAAATACTGACTGATGTTAGTTGAGGTTTTCCAAGAAGCATATGGGGTTTGAAGAGCAAGAGATTTACTCAGGGAAATGTCTGTGGGGGAAAATGCGAGGTGAGGTACTGGAAGCTAGGCAAAGGATGTAAGCCTACAATAATGGTCTACCAGGGGTATCCAACCTTTTGGGGGTCTCTGGGCCACGCTGAAAGAAGAGTTGTCTTGGGCCACACATTAAATACATTGTGACACAAAAATCACAAAATAATCTTATGTTTTAAGTAAATTTATAATTTTGTGTTGGGCCATACTCATAGCCATCCTGGGCCACAGGTTGGATGCCCCTGTAGCCCTGCAGGGAAGAACAAAAAGAAAGGTTATGTATCAAGAATATTAGACTGTAAGTGTAGTTCTAAGACAGTTTGATAAAGCTTGGAGAATTCTAGAGCAAAAGTCACTCAGAGGAGATCCAGGCCTCCCTGAAGTAAGACTAATTTAGTATCCCTGCATATTCAAACCACTGCTGGGTACATGTCAGAAGAGCTCAAATGTGACTTATACCTCATAAGGCAAGAGGGAATGGTGTAGTGAAGGATGTAGGGTAGAGTATCTCCAAAGAAATCTTACCCAAGAAAGAATCAAACTTGATAATCTTATACACCTTCTCTAGCTCCCTTTTTCCATCCTCCAGGTATGCCCACGTGTTGCTATATTACGGAAAATGTCCTCAATACACTTTCTTATTCAAAACACAATACTACTCACACAATAGAATATGTCAAGTCTCCTGGTCAATTATCATACACATTTTGAGGAACATATTATACGTGAGGAATATACTATAATACCCCTAAAGCCCTCTATGTTCTACTCCCTAATTCTACTACATCCAACCCCAAAAGTAACCAAGCCTGAATTTATTTTATCTCAAGTTTTACAACATGCTATTAGGATTTCTAAACTTTATAGAAATTTTACTGGCAACTTCTGGTCAAAATGGAGGCATAGGTAAACACGGCTTGCCTCCTCACACAACCACATCAAAATTACAACTAAAATATAGAACCACCATCACTCAGAACTATCAGAAATCAAGTTGAATGGAAGTCTGACAACTACGCAATTAAAGAAACCACATCTATCCAGACTGGTAGGAAGGGCGGAGATGCAGAACAGCCTGGTCTCACATCCACATGTGGTAGATAAAAATTCAGGAGGGATAACTTGGGAGCAAGGAGTCTCAGACCCACATCAGGTCCCCCAGCCCAGGGATCCAGTGCCAGGAAGATAAGCCCCCATAACTTCTGGCTGCAAAAAACAGCAGGGATTGAGTCAGTGGAAGAAAATTCTGGAGTCCCAAACAGTTCCCCTTAAAGAATGCACATGGACTTACACAGGCTCACCCCCTCTGAGCTCCAGCACCAGGGTAGCAGCTTGAAAGGTACAAGCAGCATACAGAGAGGAACAGAAGTGTCTGACATTAAGGCAGGAGCTGAAGGACAGCTTTCTCCCAGATACAAAGGCAGGCAGAGGCTATTATCCCTTTTCTGAGCTCTCCCCACACATATCTACAGAGACAGCAGGTGGGTGCCGTATCTGAGACTCCATTAACATGGCTAACACTATCTGCCCCACTCTGGAGATCCCCCGAGACTCCTTTGCACCTAACTTATACAAGCCCAGCACAAGTAGCAGCTACCTCAGATTGCTTTATAGCTCATGCAGGGTGGCTCCAGGCAGAAAAAAGGAGGGGGCTGACCTTGGTCCACACCACCCAGAAAACCTGAGATTTGGTGCACCCAGTGGACAGATACAGATCACAATGGAGCCTCACCACCCTGTCCCTGCACAGCTTATCCTCTATGGCGGGTAGGTGTGGTGGTCAGTGGTCCTAGCCAGTCCATGCAACTGACTGGTCTGGGTAAATCCCTCCCATTGACCTGCCAACAGC